CAGGAGGTTTTTTTATTTCTACTGATCCAATTTATGTCTGCGGAACTAAAACCTGGCAGCTGATTGGTTACTAGCGCTAAAATACTTCTTTCTGATTGGCTAGCACACTGATTTTAAAATATTACCAAATTTAATGGGTTAAATGTATTTCAAAAGGCCATCAAGAAGGTCTTGATTTATCAGCGACTAAATGCCACTTGTTCTGACCTCGGTTTTGTTTTGGAGTCTTAGACCGGTTGTACGCTGTAAACGAGAAACAGGTTACAATGCCCAAAGAGACTATTTTTAGCCTTTCGAGCAGTGTTGAACCTAAAACAAAAAAAGTCTCTTGATTCGTTTGAGAAATTTTGAATTTATTTTAGAGCTTCTTTTTAAATACTAGGATACGTCGACCTCCTCCACTCGGCGTTATGGCCTTCGAGACATATTAGTAGCCTCTCCCATCTTCTATACGGTAGTAAGATGCTCTTCCCTCCTCTTTTGGCATATTGCGATTGCCAGAGGGACTCGGAGTGCTGTAACATGATCATTGCCACCGAATTTTATGGTGCCATTCTTTAGTTGACAGATATTTTGTCAACGGGTTGTCAAATGACGTTAAACTATGCCAGTTTAGTAATTTGAAATGATTTAAAGGTGGAAGTAAACTACACACACACACACACACGCACAGGTGTGGCTGTATAGGCATAAAGTTAAAAAAGCTTGAGGTGCCAATTAGGGGGATTTGGTGCTACCGAGGCAATTAACTGTATAGTGGGGCACCGCGAGCCCTGGACTGCCTCCCATGCTAGGGACACAATCAAGGCATTAGAGAAACAGTTGGTGTTCTTTAAAGGTTGGCATGCCTTCCCGCTAACGCCAGTTTTATACGCATTCGTTGCCAGAGTTGCGTGTACACACACAATCCCTCGGGTGGCATAGCCTGGGCTGCGCCCGGAGACGAAAATATTCAGTGTATATTGTAATCAACTACACCGACTCCTCTCGTAAATGTCCTTCCTAAACTTAAATAAGAGCAAATAAAAAGCATTTTAGGTGCTCTGAGTTAGAAAAGGAGGACTACTATTTGTTAGCATTTGAGGAGGCGGTGAAGTGGTCAGGTCGGTTGGACAGGCGACGGTGTTAAAACAGGCTGA